ACGGTCCTCGGGCTAGCCGATCACGTACTGCGGAGACGCGTCGACATCTGGTAAACATCCTGCCCGGAGAATAGGATCTGCGTGTGGCAAGCTACGGGACAGAAACCGTTGGAATGTTTACTGCCGCGTGCCGCTACAAATCTTTCTTTTAAGGAGAGCTATAGGATTACTCAATGCCTTTGTTAGATGGAGAGTTCGTCCCGTTGACCGCGGCCACGTTCGGCAACTAATTGTCGCCTTGAGCCCAAGCTCATTGTCACAAGTCTCGAACAAATACAATTGGTTAGAATGACGGCAAATCGTTTAGTTACAACTGTAGATTTTAATTACAATGTTCTTATGGATTTTCCCGAGGTTTCAGAGGGAAGGCACCGGTGTCCTCTTATCTCCGACATATAAAATCGTCAACGCGGACAAATGTAACTGACTATTCTACGCGTTTTCCTCGAAGGAGGTTCCGGAATTCTCTTACAAAGAACATTGCAGTATCCGTCGTAGGTCGTACCATTCTACTGCTTTGAATTTTGTTACGACGGTAGCAAGAAAACGAGCGAAGAAAACAATAACACATTACTCCTCACAATAGCTGATCACTGTATTTGGTCGGAGTTAATTTCCAAGAACATTTAAAGAAGACCAATAGTTGTATCAACCATCAGTCCATTGACCTAACCTAGCATAATTTAGTTAAAACTGTTTGCACAAGGTTAATTCGGCGTATGAGATACCGCTGACGACCGACACTTATTCAATGACGAACAAATCACAGTACACAAGTGTAAAAAATAGAAATTAATTTAAATGTTGTAATGTTCGATATTAGTTTGATCGTAAGAATCTCAAAACCCCAATTAAAATAATCTTATGAAAATAAAGTAAAAAATATAGAAGCCTTGTTTCTTTTATTCCTATTTATGGAAAATTTCTCTTTTTTTCTTATTTATCCATCATTGTGTCATTGCCAGATTATAAATAGATTAACAGGTAGAATAGATAAACAGATTAAATAACAAGAATAAATAACACCGGATATCCATTTTAAATAATAGGATTTAAACAAAATTATTAATTATTATTAATTATTAGTAACGGGAATTTACGCCTCCCATTGACGCACTTCCTCGCGACCGCGTCTCTCCGCGATTGATCGAAAATACAGAATTATTAATTCAAATTTTCAAAAACTAATTCTTTAAGATGTGACTTTTGAATAGAATTGTATCTTTTGTAAAATCTTTATTAAAAATTTTCATATACATGGTTCTTAAATGTAATATTATTTTGACATCTACATATAAGATTGATATAGAAAATGATATATTTTTTTAATAATTTAATCATCAAGTTGACACAAGCAAGCTACTCCTCTTTTAATCCAGTGAGACTCGTCAACGTGTGTTGGTAATAAAATATATAATACAAAGTTGGAAGAATGACCAGTAGTAGCCAAAACGCCACGTCTTTCGCTTGTTTTGTATACAGGGCAATGATATACGTATTCAATAATAAATTCAGCTTTTATACCGGGTTTCAACCACATTACAGGAAGGAGATCAAACATTATCTTTGGTTCAGATTCATCAATTTCTTGTAACTGTCTATTCCATCTTGCTCCTTCTAAATATAGACCCTAAAAATTCAAATAAATTTTCTTAGAACAATTGTTTATTTATATATTATTATTATTATTATTATTATTATTATTATATGCCAATTTTATCAATATGTTCTATCAACATAAAGAAATGTTATACAAAGATTATTAAATTTTTATTACTCTATTTCTGAGTGATATAATACTTAGCCAAAAGTCTTACCCTTATGTAAACTCCATAAGATGGTGTTGTTTTTACATCAGTTTCAAACTGAGTTACTTCAAATTGAAAATCTAATCTGTCGATTGGAATTTTATTTTTACGGGCATAATTTTGCAAGACTCCCGTAAGAAAAGATTGAGTAAAGAAGAAGCCAGATATCCAAAACACAGTTGGTGCATCATGATCTATCCAGTCTTGGAAAAATGCTAATCTGTCTAATAAGTCATTAATATAACTTGCGAGTGATTTTAGCGAAGGATAAGATCTTTTACTCCAGGTAACTGGCACTGTACCAATACTCATACTGAGAAAAACTTCTTCCAACTCAGATGACATTAGAACCAGTCCTTTAATGGCTTTTTGTACATCTACTAAAGTACTTTTAATCGTATCAACGAGGTTATTAAATTTAATGAGTTCTTGACGAAGAACCGTATTCATACTATTTATATAGAGCACTGGATATTTTTTAGAAATTTCTAAAATATCAAATCGCGACGTTAATTTTGATAAAATGTCATCGCATAGACCGTAAACCACATCGTCGATATCTCTCTCAACTCCCACGCTAGTAATATGTGGTTGAGTTAATAGAGTCCCTTTAAGAAGCTGCAATGATTCCTGATTATCTTTTGTTATATCTGCATTTTCATGTAAACCAAATACTTCTGGGTGTTGGATAATTGGCAGATTACGAATATATTCTAGACAGCCGTGATAATCTGTATTTTCTGGTAGACGATATATACAACTTGGTGTAAAGCAATACCTGTATTAAAAATATATAAGTACACAAGTTTATACAAATATCTATCACGGTGTATATAAAGATTTTAATTGCTCTCAAAAAATTGAATTCAAAAGTGTCGATTGTTCTCATTTCATATATGTATCTATAGTAAAGGAAAATTGGAAAAAGGAAAAGTAAAGGAACACCGGATTTACAAAATTTAACAACCATCTTAGAAATCTAACGAGTATTTGAAACAACTTGCAACATTGGATTCGACTTTAAAGAAGATCAACATCGAAATTGGTAAGTGTAAATGTGAACGAGACAGTCTACTCGAGAAAATCAGAAGCTCTAAAACTACAACGAACCAGAACATATGGAGCAAAACGAAACAGACAGCAATAGTCGACAATAAACCAGTAGAATATGTAGAGTAATTAGAAGTTAAGATAGTCTGTACACAATCGCACTCTTAAGAAGACTAAAAAGGAAACACCCAACAGATCTCACAAAGGATATAACCTAACAAACACGACGATGGTAGCAAGATGGTACCCCGCTGGGGGTAGCCACCCACATGATAATCAAACAGCTAAAAAATTCTACCAAATGTCCAAATCGGACAAATTGTGGATGTAAACAACTAAATAAAGAAAAACAATCGCACTCTTGTAAATCTACATCCCTTCCGAATGCACTAGGCGTAATTACACACGTCATCACTAGAAACAACTTTTGAACGTAGCCGTTCAAGTATGTTTGGAATTTGGAGTGACCATATGGTGCGAATTCTCAACTAATCAGCGATCAGTCAGGTTGCAACTGATCGGTTGATATCACGAACCGTGAACGCTATTAACGCTCAAGGTGGAGGTAGATTAAAGATGCAGAGTAATGTTATGTTTAGTTAATTTATTTGCACTGTTTAGTATAACACGAAGAGAATCACTAGCAGGTTAATATGTTGACCGATTGAAAAACTAATGTCCTTCGATGATGGTGCTGTGGCGGAGGAAAACTAGTGATTTTTTTTTACGTTGGTACAATTTTTTATTTATTTATTTGCATTTTACAATTTGTCCAGTAGGACATTTGGTAAAATATTATAGCTTACTGATATAGTATTATAACATGGCATGGATGGCTACCCCCAGTGGGATACCATCTTCGAATTTGATTGATTTATTTCTTTAATTATCTCAGATAATACGTGTTTGTATGTCCTTTGTGAGATCTGTTGGGTGTTTCCTTTTTAGTCTTCTTTTTATGCTTGATGTGTCGACCGTTTCCGCTGCCAGCCGGTTTGGGTGCGTTGCTATTCTTTCTCCGTGCCTTCTTGCATTTTTGTTAATCTCCTCCTTGACCGTTGGTATTCCCAGGTCTTTCCGAATGTCCTCGTTTCTAACGTACCATGGCGCGTTTACTATTGTTCTGAGTATTTTCCATTGCGTTGCCTCTATTTTGGTTATATGGCTCATTGCTGCTGTTCCTCATAGTGCTATTCCGTACGTCCAGATTGGTTTTATAACCATTTTATATATTTTTAGTTTATTTTCCATGCTGAGTTTAGAGTTTCGACTAGTTAGCCAGTGCATCTCTCTTCTTTTTATCCGTATTTTGTCTCTAATTGATTTAGTATGTTGCTTCCATGTAAGTTGTGTGTCTAAGTGCAATCCTAGTTATTTAACTTGCCTTGTTTGTTTTATGTACCATTCAATTGGATATTTGGTGGTTTCCGTTTTCGTAGTGTAAATGTAATATGGCTGCATTTACTAGAATTTGCTTTTATTTGTTTATCTTGTAACCATTTTTCTATTTTTGTGATATGCTCTTGTGATAATGTGATTGCTGTTTCTATATTAATGTGCTTGACTAGGTGTGTTTGACTATTGCGTTTAGGATTTTTTTAATGTCAAAGATTTCTTCGTTATTAGCTTTGGGTTCAAGTTCTATCAGAAACAGTGGCAATGATTGTTTCGTGTCGTATCTGGTTATATTATTTATTGTTCTTGCTTGGTGTCTGATTTTTGCTAATTCCTCACATATATTTTTTTGTATTTGTCCTTGGGTGTAGTCCTCTACTTACTATTTTGTAGCTTCTTTCTGTTTTGAGCTGGAATGTATGATACCCAGCGTTTTCTCCTTTAATGCTTGCGTCATTTTTCTAAATACTTCCGGAGTTTTTGTTTGTACTTTTACTTGTTCCAGTTTTAATTACTTTATACTGAAGTTTTCTTTTCCAGCAGTATTGTTTAATAGTTCAAGTGGGGAATCTATTATTTGGGCATCAATGTAGATCGGTGGTGGTTTAACGATATGAGTTGTGGCTTTTTTTGGGTCCGGATCTACCTCTTCTATCAGTGAACTGAATGAGTTTCGGGGTGGGATGTCTTGTAGCCACTGTTGCTTCTCCGTACCTGAAATTTTCATAGCGCTCGTGCCTGGTATTATTTACGCTTTTTGTGTGCTGCTCCTACCTTCCAATGTTCATCTTGATATGATAGTTCGTCATTGTAGCTCTTTTCTTCGTGCTTTTGCAACGTTCCCATTTTTTTTATAAATGAGCTTTTCTGTTCTTTGTTAACCCTTTCCCGTGCCAATTAGTTCGACAAAACTCGGGCCCAAGCGGTAGACATCGACGCGCGCTAAACAGACCAGATTGATTCTCGTAAACAGGAACTAACATTCAGTCGCGATCGGAACGGGGAAAAAACAGTCCGCGAGCTCGGCTTGTTATGTTTACGTTTGGCCCAAGTATCTGGTCGCGAGTCAGACTCGCGATATTCATGTTTGGACCAAAATCTTCATCGCGAGTCTGACTCGATAAAGTACGGGAAGGGGTTGATTGGTTGTTTCCTGTTTAACGTATTTGCAGCTTTATTTATGTAGTATATTTCACCTTTGTTTGTTATATTGATCGGTGGTATTTGTTGCATTTTGGAGCTTTAACCATTTGGCAGTGCTCGTTGTCGTTTTGTCCACCTAAATTCACTGCTTGTCGCACTTTCACTGCCATTAGTGTATGCGAAATAAAATAGACAAACTCGAAGATGGTATCTCGTTGGGAGTAGCTATCCACATGTTATTTAGTAATAAACTTAGAAATATTTACCAAATCTCAAAGTGTAAAGTACAAATTAAATAAAAAAAAAAGAAGAAAAAATTACTGTATGCAATTTTGTATGTAATTTTCAACAAAGGAAATGAGTTGGAAAATGTGTAAATGGAATATGTTTGTATGTATGTATACCATAAGATAAGATTTAGTTAAAAGATGAACTGAATAAAAACTGAAGTCCATTTCATAGATGTAGGATCGAAATTAATAAACATAATACATATGAATAAGAAATACGCATATACATTACAAATGATGAAGTATTTAATGTAATAACGTAAAGAAGTAAATTAATAGATTATGAATTTATCGTATAATAAATATCTAGATGTATTCATAAAACTTACCGTGGATTGGTAATAACTTCCTCATTGTAGTATTGTTTCAATAATGAATTCAGCAAACGTCTATCCTTATCATCAGTTACACGGCCACCGTAATTACATTCACCCGTTAAATAGAGAAGTGCATCAAATGGTACTTGCTCATAATCATTTAAAAAGAGCTAATATATAAGGAAAAGAAACTTCAATACATAAAGTGATACCATCCTGATGGTGCAACCGAAAAGAGTGTGAGTCTACATGAAAGAATAAGTCGAAAATGTAAAGCTATATTTTTTTCGTGTAATACTCGTCATTTCATTTCGTAACATCTCATTTCCGAATAAATCAAGATTAACGATTCGCCGAATACACGTACACTTATCCACGCACGATCTCACTTACTTCTACTTCCAATGAATATTATTGCAAAGTCTGTATGGTTTTTGCATCCGAACTGTTACGACCGTTCGCGGAGAGACGCGGTCGCGAGGAAAACGCGTCAGCGAGGGGCGTAAATTCTCGATACGATTCGGTTAATCGACGCCGCGAAATAGTCGTTCCCCTGTTTCGGTTAAGATAACAGAGGTGGTTAAATGAATATGACACAGTATAGTAAGTTATATGTCACCGTTTATTCTAACAACTTGTGAAGAAGATAGTTGCGCTGGTGCGTGTGTATAAGATGAGTGACTGACTGATCTTCGGG